ATGTGAAGTTTTGCTATCCTACCTTCTTCTTCTTCTTCTTTTTTTTTTTTTTAATTTAAGGTTTTTATTGTGGATTGAGTGAAAGTTTACAGGGCACATCATCAGTTTCACATTCAACCATTCATATAACTTGTTTCATTATATTGATTATAATTCCCTCCATATACCATCAGTTAAAAGTATTTCTCTTTATCCAGTTTAGCTTTTTTTAAAAAAACACACAAAAAAAACCCACTCAGGCATATATAATAAATTACATCTCCAAAGGGCACATTCTGCAAGTCTGCTTCTGGCCACCAGTTCTTAGTCCTTCTCTTAGTTGATGAATCTAGAGTCCTCCATACCCGCATCTCTACCTCCATCTCTGGTGCTGCTGCTTCTCTGGATAAGGTCCCACATTCTATTTGTGTGTTCCTCTCTTGATGGTCGTAGGGTCCTCTGTTTCTGGACTGTAAGATTAACCATTCCCCTTTTTTTGTTACAAAACTTCTACCTTTACAATTGTGACAGTCGCGATTAGTCATGATAACAGTTATTCACTACTGAATCTTACGAATCTTATCCCCATCTCCTTTCACCAGACCCATCTAGACAAGATGGTAACTATTCAGTGGGGATATCCTACCTTCTAAGGAGCATTTTGCCTATAGTTCTTCCAAGAGAGATTTATTAATTCTTCTGGCAGATCACTGGACTGCTGAAAGGTTGGTTTGAACTGCAAGGTCGGTGGTTCAAACTCACCAGCCACTCCTCGGAACCCCAAATAGGGTCTCTGTGAGTCGAAGCCCACTAGATGGCACTTAACAAAACAGCATACAAAAGGCTCTATGACTTATAACATTTAAGAAACATAAAAAGAACAGACTAGAAATCAAAATATGTAGTTTGTCATCAATAGATTTATTCCCCCAATTTAAAAACCATTACAAACCAGGAAGGTAAGCTAAAGAACAAAATGTTAATTGTAGAAATACCTGTGATTAAGGTCAGCTGTTCGAAACTACCAGCTCTTCCACGGGAGAAAGGTGAGGCTTTCTGCTCCCATAAAGATTTACAGCCTCGGAAGTGACTCCAAAGCACATCACCACCAACCACTACCACCTGTGATTAGACAACTGAACCAATAAGCAACATAGTGATAAACACAGACAATAATGTCAAGGATTTTGTTTTATTTAGATCCACAATCAGCACCCATGAAAGCAGCAGTCAAGAAATCAAAACAAATCTGCTGAGACTTCTAAAGTGTTTTATAAAGCAAAGCTATTACATTTTGAGGACTAAAATATTCCTGACCCACACCATGGTATTTCAGTTACCTCTTATGCACGTGGAAGCTGAATACTGAGTACAAGGAAGACCAAAGAGGAATTGATGCATTTGAACTATGGTGTTAGTTGTTAAGAGTTTATTCCCACTCATAGAGACCCTGTATAAAGTTTCTGAGGCTGTAAATCTTTGCGGGAGCAGGAAGTTTAATGACCATATGTGTGTAAGCTTGACAAGAGCATGGTTTTTCAAATTGTTGCAGGACCTGATTTTTATGTAAACTATATCAGACTTGTTAAATGTACCCTTATCTTTTAGGCTTTCTGTCTGTGATTTATCAGAATGATATAATGATGATTGTGGATGTATATCTTTGGCTTTAGATGTTTCTGAAGTTGTTAGGTTTAGAATCTCTTTATTTTATCATCGTGAAAACATTATTCCTGATAATGCCTGTTGTATTCAGGTATATCCTTCCTGGGAGCGATACATTTTTAGTGTTTGCCTGATGTGTCTTCATCCTACTAGTTGAATTGTGTTTGTTAGACTTTTTTTGGAAACAATCTCATTTTAGAAAGTAGAGTTGATGCTTTTGAGTTATGGTGTTGGAGGAGAATATTGAAAGTGCCATGATCTGCCAAAAGAACCAACAGATAGATCTGTGTTAGACGAAGTGCATCCGGAGTGTTCCTTGGAGGCCAAGATGGCCAAACTTCGTCTCTCATACTTTAGACATATTGTCAGCAGGGACCAGTTGCTGGAGAAGGATATCATGTTTGGTAAGGTGGAGGGTCAGAGAAAAAGAGGAAGTCCCCCCCCAATGAGATGGATTGGCCAAGTGGCAGCATCAATGGGCTTGAGCGTGGCAACAATAGTGTAGTTGGCCCAGTACTGGACAGTGTTTCATTCTGTTGTACATAGGGTTGCTATGAGTCGTTACTGACTTGATGGCACTTGACAACAACCAAATAACCTTTGAACGAGCTGATCTTATCATGTTTTAAATTCCTAAAATTTGGTTGAGTTTTAAAGCATCCTGTGGGTTAATGTGCTTGACTGCAAAGTCTGTTTGAACTGCAAGGTCTGCGGTTCAAGGTCACCAGCTGCTCCTTGGAAATCTATTCAGTGTCACTATGAGTTGGAACAACTTGACAGTACTTAAAAACAACAATAATCTATTACTTCTATTGTTAACAAAAGCAGCAATCTATTACTTCTGGTATGGTGCTGCAGGTTAATGCGCTGAACCACGAGGTCTATTTGAACCAGAAGGTTGGTGGTTCAAAATCACCAGCTGCTCCTCAGAAACCCTGTACAGGGCAGGGTCTCTATGAAGTGGTACCAATTCGAAGGCACTTAACAATAACAGGGATAATCTTTGGGATGAATTGTGTTTTCTGGGGGGAGTCTTTGTGACCTGATTGGTAGAGATATTTCTCCTCTGCAACTTTATTTGCCTAATTGTTTAATTTTGGAGAGTTTGGGGCATTGCAGGTAGCAAATAAGATTCAGTTTTGCTTTTAGGACTTCCAATTCCCAGAGTTATTTCCTCTTTACTTCTTCATGGTTCATTGGGAAGAGTTTTTCTTGTTCCTCTTACTTAGTTAACAGCCCCATAAATCTTGATGAGTTATTGTTGTAAAATGTGTATAACTAAACGTGCCAATTCAAGATATTTTACGTGTATAATTCCGTTATACTGACTGTGTTCACCATTGTGCAACTGTCACCGCTAAGCAATGAGTGATTCCCCCTTTCCACACTTCCTTCTCATCTTTGTTACGTGCCGTCCAGTTGATTCCCACTCATAGTGACCCTGTGTAGGGTTTCCAAGGATTAGCTGGTGTATTTGACCCACCCACCTTGTGGTTAGCAGTTCAGTGCTTATCCTATAGTGCCATACTTGGATTCCTATCCTTAGTAACACAAATAAAATTTGCTCTCTATATATTTTCGTAGGAGCTCTGGTAGTGTAGTGGGTAATGCTTTGGACTGCTAAACCTCAAGGCAGCAGTTTGAATCCCCCAGACGTTCAATGGGAGAAAGATGAGGCTTTCTGTTCCGGTAAAAGATCCAGTCTCCAAAACACCCTATATCGGGTTACATGAGTCTGAGCTGATTCCACAGCATGCAACTGCCAGCATATATTTGCTGATTGCAGATATTTCATATTGTTTCTCATTGAGAACTAAGTTGTCTGCAAGTTTATTTGTTGTAATTTATCTAATACACATACATATTTGCATTAGCAATTTCTATGTTAGATCTTTGTGGATGTATTTAAGGAAACAGTTTTGAATTACCAACTCCTGGATTGATAACAAGTAGATTTGATCTCTGTATGCTTCTTCTAACTCTCTTGTATAGAGTAGTTACTCTGTAAATGCTTGAGTGTTGCACACAGGTAGAAGTATGCAAGCACATGTTCTGAGTTATAATGTAAAATTTATTTCTTACCATGGGTTACTCCCCAAATCTGGAAAATATAAAACTGCGTCTTGTTATTCAAAATGGAATAACGCTCATTTTCAGTATTTAGCCTTCAGTATATCTGCCTTACGAATGGGCTTGTGATTCCCCCCCCCCCCCACGCACACAAGCTGCTTATCCTCTCATACATGTATTCTTTTGTAATCACAATATTTCTTCTGAAAATCCCTAAAACCATGGTTTCTGAGATGGCTACTATTGAAAGCATAGTTTCAGTTTTGGCCAGATGGATTAATAGAATAACTTGCCTTATTGGATGAAGTAATTTTATTCTGTTACCTGGAGTAGACCTGTTACATGCAATTTGTTTATTGGTTTAAAAAAGTGATTTAGTTAGTCAAATTTAAATAGTTGGGATATGAGACTTCATCTTAATACTGATAGCAGCAATAACTGCAGTTCCTGTTTTGTATGTGGGACCAGAGGCCTCTAAGGGATGAGAGCAGAATTGCTTTTTTCATTGTATTGTCCTGTGAAGAGAGCCAACTTAACCCATCAGAAGGGAAGCAGAAGTTCTGCAAGTTTTCTACTGAATGCATTCTCTGTAGTAATAACTTTTAGTATTGGCAACAGGAAAACATTGATTGTTATTAAATACATGGATGAAGAATTTGAGCCAGAGGGCAAAATTACACTAATAGCCCTGTAGTCAAACTTGCGTTTTCTTTTCCAGGAAGATGGTAGGTGGTGTGTGTTGGGGAGGGCATTTGCTGTTTGGGTAGTGAGGAGTTACAGAAATCTGGAAGAGTGTCTTTAATGTTGTTCCCATTTTAAATTTGAAGGCAGGGACAATGTGTTCATCCTTGTAGCCTGAAACCTTGCACAATACCTGGCATATGGAGCACATCGAATGATGATGCTGCCTGCCTGTGTTTAGTAAAATATGATCCTCAGAATGAGCCTGTCCGTTAGTGATCAAGTAAGTAGACAGTGAATCTGCTTCAAAGGCACTTGTTAGTTCTGTTTCAGAGCTTTTTTTCAGTATCAAGAAGGGGTTCACAGTATGAGCTTGGAACTTGTTTTCAGCCAACCCTCTGCGTGTACCCGTGTCCCCCTGCCCCAGCCTGATGAGGTTAGCATAAATTCTCTCAGGAACAGGTGATGCTGGGAAATGGTGACTACCTTCCCGTTCCCTTCATTTCCTACCTGACTCACATCTCGCATTATTTACTGAACATGGCAATCTTGTTATTAACCAAAGATTTTTAATTACAGGACTTGTTCCAACAATCTGTTAAAACATGGTGGATTACTATGAAGTTCTAGGTGTGCAGAGACATGCCTCACCTGAGGATATTAAAAAGGCGTAAGTAGTTTTATTCTTTATATGATAAATCTTTACGGTTTTAATGTTGGTAATTGGGTAGTATAATTTTGTGTGTTGCCTAGTAAATGGTTTTAATCTATTGTAACAACCTTTAATAATGCTTAGTTTAATTTAACATTTGCAAATTGACATATCTCAGAATCCATGCATAACTTTTGGTGGTTGGGAATGAAAAAGTTTAGTTGGGTTACTGTGAATTCTGTTTTTCTCTGATGAAAATAAAAACAATTGGTGATCATATGAAGTAGTTCCAAAGACACTTACATTGAAATTTGAAATGTAATTGACTTCGTAGTCTTTTTTTTTTTTTTTTTTTT